AGTTAAAGATCGTTTTTTGGACTCCTTGGAAGTTTCTATAAAGTATAAATGTTTCACGAGTTAATTAATGGATGAGTTGACTTAAACGAGATGTATGCAGCTTATCATATCGTTCTCAATTTATTCGGATACTTAATAGAACTTCATTCACATACTGTTACATGATGATTTCAATAAGAAAGGCAAATGTTCTATTTACAGTTTGTGTACATATGTACACAATATTACAAACAGCACTAATGTTGTTCGACATCAAATACTCGACACATCAGTTCATCTGCCTACACAGATCAGACACCCATCTGCATTAAACCCCAATGCAGAATTAAACTGAGCATTACTTCAATTTCACTCCTGGGGGTGATCACACATATAGGGATTAGGGATGCATAGGAAATTGCACAAAGCAGTCATAAGAAAATCTCCCAAATTACCTTCAAATGTTCCAGATGCCCTGAATTTCTCAATATTTGGTAAAATACCATCATCTGTGAAGAGGTCATCGCACTTCTGATGGTACCTCTGATGGTTTTCAATGATTTCTTCTACAGTACATTGCCTCGTGTGAAACTAAGGTCATTAATATCGGAGAATGTATAACTCAAACAGTTGTACTATGATGTGTGAGATTGATCATAGAAAACATTTTGTAATGCATATGCCACTGAGAAATATAAACAATTTCTTTCCTCAGGTTTATATAAAAACTGCAGTCTTAGCTTTTGATTTCGTGGTGTCTTGCAATGATAGCAAAATCCTTTTACAATATGTTATATAGAATATATGACGGAAACGGAAAACAAAAAATACCAATTAAGTATAAAAACCATGACAATTTCTAATGCCTGGATACCCATCGTTTTTTTTAACCTAAAACATGTGTTTGCAATTAGAAAATGTATTGCAGATATCCCAATTCGCTTTTTCTGCAATAATTATTGGAGATATGACAATTTTCCCAATATAATACGATTAACTTTAATCTTTAACTTTAAAAAAATACTGTAGGCAAATTTCCTAACTTTGTGGATTCAGAGATACTTTGATGAGTATTTTTGATAACTTAACTGCTAATTTATAGATCAGACTACCTTAAAACCTGTCGATCAAATTTGTCTTTTACCTCTTTCTATTTAGATACAAAGTTCTGAAAAGCTTCAGAAATCGGAATGTTCCTTGGAATGTCCATCTTCATTTTCTTCTCTATATCCCCCTTTTGACGAAAAACTAGTCGCAGGTCTCTTCAAAATAATTTGTGCAAGTCGCTTGATTTCGTTATATGATTAGAAATTCTCAGCATGAAACAAGTCCAATTGACCTCAACATGGGGAAATAATGCATAAATTTCTGTGCAGAATCGATTGCTCACAGCGCCAGTGAAGTATTGTATGAACAAATTGACATTGCTGGTAATCGTTTTTATTTGTATTCAGTAGTAGTCACACAACACTTAAAATATAATGTGCCTTTGCCTGTTCCTCTTCCCTGTTTTTGTTTTGTTTGGGGGGGGGGATTCGATCGGTTTCCTTTGCAGGTGATATCCCTTCCAATTCTACCAGTCCTCTTTTTACAGGTTTTCTTTTTTCCCTAAGGAAAATCCCAGACCTCAAATTTTGAACAGAATCTTTAGAAATGGCAACTAAGTCTTCTCCGCTTTTAGGGTTATGTTGGTTATTTCAAGGTGGTGTTGCTCTTTGACGGGCATTTGTGAACATCCTGTTTGAAAACCCAATTCTGTGCCAGGGGTTCTTTAAACGGCGATGGCTGCACAACATTTTGTTTCATTTTGGCGGCTTTATTGATCTTTATTAAGAACTGATTCTTCTCTAGTTTGGATCATACAGTACCGACCAGACACAACCTAACAGAAAGCGAACCCGGAGCGGACCCAAAGCGATCCCGTAGCGGACCCCGAGCGAACCCGAAGCGGACCCAGAGAGCGAACCCCAAATTCAGTAACGGTCCCAGAGAGCAAACGCGTGTTGTGTATTTCTTTACAGAGCTGTCAATCAGGATTAGCGATTAACCAATCAGCGCATCAACCAATCAAAATAGCATATTGATCTGTCGATTGAGATATAAGATCGAACGTATTGATTTAATTCGACTTAAATCCAAGCACTGTACATACAAGTAAAACGTGTGAATGTGCTGTGTTAATCTATTGTGATAATTAAAATATTATTAAATAATGTAATGGGTAGCGTATTTGGCCATGCCTACTATAGCCGAATCAGAGGGAATATTGGAAAATGGACTCTTCCAATGGGCTATTCACCCCTCTGAGTAAATAGAATAATCCGTAGATATATAAATGAGACGCTCGCAGCTGCTAGGCATTATGCTGACGGAATCAGACTGAATCAGTTGTTCAGATAGGAAGATAGAAGAAGAAAGCGCAAGGTAATAAAGGCATTATTTGAGAAATAAAAAAGCAAAGGTTAGAAGCGCATTAGTGGAAAGTGAACAGTCTAGAGGAATTGTGGTGAGGTACCAGGGCGAAGTAATTCTGTATAAGGGTGAAAGAACCTGGTACTTCACATTACAATAGGAATTCTGGCTGTTCCAGGAACACAGTGCAGGTTACCTTGCTTATGAACCACGACCTACCACTTCAAGTTTAATCTATATACGTTGAACGCTCGATCAGTGTAAAACAAACATTGGTGCTGTGCGATCACATTGTATCTAACGTTATTGACGCCCTAGCCCTAACTGAAACATGGCTTGGAAGTATCATAGACAGCATTGTGATAGGAGAACTCGTACCAAGCGGTTATGATATACTTCACGTCCCAAGAAAGAACCGTGGTGGTGTTGCCCTCATTTTCAATATGAATCTTCGTACTACTCAATTACAGTTAGATTCATTCAATTGCTTTGAACACAACGAATGTACGGTATTTACACAGAACTTTCGTATATGTATTGTCTATCGTCCACCGTCGCAAAAGCTCTATGTATTCTTTGAAGAATGGTCGCAATATTTGAGTCGTGATGCTGTACATGTATCAACCCACGAACTCATTCTTACCGGATATATGAATTTCCCTCTTGACAAGGCTACGGATCCAAACTCTAAAATGTTCATGAACTCGCTTGGAGAGCAACATGTTATGGATTCTACTCACGTGCGCGGACACGTACTTGATGTTTTCATTACCAGAGACGAAAGCACAACTCTAGATTCCACCCTAATCGTTGTTAATCAGCACATATGTGACTCAAAGGGAATTATGGATAATATTTATTTTCAGTACATTACATTTTTGCAAGAAAACGGTACTCGAGTCAAAGTACAGGATAAATACGAAATTCATAATACAAATCATGTTCAGATCGGGATCGGCATTACAGTATAAAAACATTTATTTCCCGGTAACGTCAGAACATCTTTCTTCACAGTTTTGGATACAAGTTCAGTTTTCCACAATTTAAGACATATTCATATAAATAGAGGTAATTAAGTATGTAAAAATGAATATGATTACCGTCGAAATTAATAAACATAATATGCATTTATACAATCATCATGTATAAATACCAGTTCGAATTTCCTCGGCATGTCACAGCAAAGTGTAAGACGGGTTTTTAGAAATATCTTGCATGTTATACAGGAAAACGCAATTAACATTTTACAAGATATGACCAGTCAAAAGATCTTTGCAGTGCTTACCCCTCCATGCCACCTCATTTTTAGAGGTCCTTTGGTTTGCTCTGCTACCAATTTATATTGTTGTCAGTGGACTTATGACCTCGATTACTGCTCGTTATCTTCACATTTCATGCCAAATATAATTGATCTTCATACATGCACCCACCTAGTCCTATTGATTCCAGGTCAAAATAAATCAGAGGGTTTTCCAAGGAAAATTCTGCTACTTCTGGGGCTGTCTTTAGCACAGGAGCTGGAATTTCTATAGCTATATCATCCTTAATATTGTTAAGTCTGGGATCAGTAACTTACTAGCTCTTTCGAAGCTGTTGTTTGCTCCCTACAATAAAATGATTTTGATTTTTTATCTAGTACTCTTCGTGACATATCATGTTATCCATATGATAACATTATTCATATTAAGAAATATTTAAATCTAGAAATCTTATTATTTACAGAAGCTCAAGATATAAGTTTAGTATAAAAACTGCATGTCTTCATAAGCCTAGCAATGTTAGACATTTGTATGCAACTACCAATAGTTCAATGTGGACATTTTTCAGCAAACTAGTGTTCATTTTCCTGGCCTCATTCCTTTCCAGCGAAGAAAAAACAGACACTTAACTGTTTTAAATAAAATCATGAAAACTACTTCATTTTGTATACTACTAGGATCTATCGAGTATATTTACAGAGAGGTTCATTGTTTTCTTACCAGATATTCTCTGTTTGCACCGATGATCAGCGCATTAGTCCTTTGTTTTGTCTCGATATTCTTCTGCAAAGAAAATAAAGCAACACGACTATATGTTTAAAAATCTTTTTTTTTAATGAAAATATTTGTATATTAGTCTGTTTGAATGTGTTTTCTTACCATACGTATCTTATGTCAATGTTTTTGTTGACCTCTCCTTTGAGTCCTTTCCTTTTCTTTTCCTAATGCATTGAAGAATTTCTGTAATGAAACAAATGGTACATAATTCTACTTAAATACTGGATTTTCTTCTACAAAGTGTGTGTTTATAACGAACTGATCATATTTCTATATCGATATTATTCTATATATGCTCATCAACAATTCTTCAAGCACCTGATTTAATTTCAGCTGATGTTTCCTTTTGTTTTCGATTTCTCTCTGCAAATAAACATCAACACGTGTTTTTTATTTACAAATGGAAGAAGAGAAATTTAAATGCAGCACAAAATAAGATTTTTTTATACTCACTTAAGCAATACTTATTTCTCACAATTTATAGAAGTTAACGATTCAAGTCAATGATTAAGACTGCCTATATCAGCTATAGTATTGTAAAAAATTACTATATACATACCAATAGTTCAATGTGGACATTTTTCAGCAAACTATTCAATTTTTCGGACTCATTCCTTTCCTACAAAGAAATAAGATGTGTTTGTGAAACACTGATGCCCCCGAATGTCAACATAGCAAAGATTAAACTTTTTATGAATGCAAATTTATTTATTGGTACTAAAAGCAAGGTATTCTCACTGGAAATCAATTATGAAATTTGAAAGTAAGCCAATATTAATTTTTTTTTTCAATAAGTAAAAAAAATCTTCATGGTCAAAAGTTCAACGTAATTGGTGTCAAATGAAAGGTCTTGCCACATAAAATACTTATTTACTTATGTATAGCAAGAAAGTCCTAGCCCTAACCGTTCAGAAGTTATGGTCAAATGGTCAGAGTTCTTGCTTTCAAATGAAAGCACTAGCCCCAGCCCTTTAAAAATTATGGTCAAGGTTTCCTTTTTAAAGGTAAGTCAATTTAGAAGGTCAGAGGGTCAAAGTTCTTGGTATCCAAAGAAGGGTCTTCTCACAAGGATTACATATATGAAGTATGAAGGCCATATCCCTTACCGTTCAAACGTTATTGCTAAGGTTAAAGTATTTTTTCACAAGTACGAAAATGTATAAGTCAAGGTCATAGGGTCAAGGTTGTTGGTATCCAATGAAAGGTCTTTTAACAAAGATTAAATTGTGAAGAATAAATGTTTTGGAATCTAATGTTCAAAAGATATGGCTAAAGTAAACGTTTTGAAATATTCGTGTAAAAGCGGGTCAAACTCCACTGTCAAATTTGGTGGTACCCAAAGAAATACACAAGTGAAATATGAAACACATAGCTGCACTAAATTAAAGGTTATAGGCAAAGTTAGAATTTTAGCGGACAAACAGACAGATTGACACGACAAAAACTATACACCCACAAAACTTCGATTGAGTCCAGACACAAACATACAAGTGTCCGATATGAGGAACACCGACGGATCGGGGTTTTTTCTAGTCATTCCCAGTGTCATTTTCAAAGTGCGGGGTCTTTTTTTGACAAAACGATTGTTGGAGGTTTACAGAACCGATTCCCCTGCGTTATTTGATTTTGCAGTGTTCTTGCGTTGAGTCCGATTAACCTTTCGGTGTGGGATTTTCTAGATCGCAGGTATATCGTTTTATAAGCATCGTGTTCACGGAGTATTCTTTTCTCGAGTAAAACTGATATTATCTCCTGAAGTGTGAAAAAAGATATTTTTTTCGAGCCCGGTTAACCAAATCTACTCTTTAACTCTGTCGCTGCTAAGACTGACAGGGCTCCTCGAGATCAAAATTAATAATTATATACTAGTATCTTGCCGTCTAGATAAGATCTTCCTGTTCCCCCATATAGCTTACACAGGATGAGAACCCACCATTCAGTCGACTAAAGAGTCACTGAAAAGACCCTTTCCCGTGATCATTCAGTTACCAATCAGCCGTTTCTTAACTGTCAAAACCGTAATAAGCCGTAGGATGTTTAAGCTTTCGATAGACTTCGGTATTTTTATAAATTGTGATTCGACTATCGGATCATCATTTTTTTAAGGTCTTCACCCCGTAATGCATTTTAATATGCACATTTTCAAAAGTGATAATTTTATCTCAAAACAATTTTTAAAAAAATTAAAAAAACAATACTTGTTGTTACACTCCAATAGTTGTACAAAGGGGCATAACTTGTGTAAATTTATTGAATTACAATTCATTATTTACCATTTACGAGTTGCGAGTTCATGTAAAACTATCCTGACTGTTATGAATGAAAATTAATTTTAACAATATACATACATTCAGAGTGGTCAGCACGGATGAATTGAGGGAGATTGAGCCTTTCCACGACGAGACCTCCACACAATTCGCTGTCAGGATAGAGTCTGTGGGTGGGAGGGCTAAATCCACGCTCTCCCCCCAGGGTTTACATGTGACACTGCTGGATCCCTCCAGCGATTCTATCAGCAGCTCCCGTCGTTTTGAGTTCGGGGATTCAATGATGTCAGAAGCCTGCAAATATTAATGAAAGACATAATTTAAAGTGAGATTTTATTCCAGTGTCATTTTCACTATACAAAGTAGCTGCAGATCTGTAGCGTTATGGTTTTATGTATTTGTCTTTGACCATAAAGATCAAACAAAAATATATAAAACCATAACGCTACAGATCTTTAGCTGTATACAAAGGTGAAACACAGAATATCATTTGTAATTCAAATCTTACATTTATATCAAACATTTTTATGATGTGATTTTTTTATGATGCCTTTCATATGTGTGTTTGTTTATATGGAAGGGGGGGCACCTTTCTCAATTTTCTATAATGCAAATGCGTACAATTTCCTTATCAATTTTATGTAAATGAAAGAAAAATGCTGTCATTTTTACTGCTCAAATGTTATATCTGTTAGATCTGTATTTTGTAGTGAACTGACAAAAGCAAACTTTATGGTCTTTGAATTAAAAGCATAAGTTTGAATTCAATTCATTTACTTACTCTTTTCAGGATCCCCTTAACCGAGACGGTTCTTTTAGTCGGACTAAGGAGAATCTCGTCCACAGTTTGAGTGGGGGATGCAGAAACCTGTCAAGGGTGTTTTGGTTCACTTCAAACTTGCCACACTGGAAGACCTGAAATATAAGAATTTGCAGGTTTTATATGTATGATATAAATTATTGATATGCTAAGTGTGTGTCGCTTTTTCTTAGCTTACCTGAGCTGAAAGTTTTAAGTGAGCTTTTCTGATCACCCATTGTCTGTGAACTTTTCACGTTTTCAACTTTTTCTGAAGAACCACAGGGCCAATTTTAACCAGACTTGGAACAAAGCATCGTTGGGTAAAGGGAAATTTAAATTATTTGAAATCAAGGGCCAAGTCCCCTTACAAGGGGAGATAATAAAAAAAATTCAAAAATAGGGTGGGGTCATTAAAAAAATCTTCTCAAGAAATACAGGGCCAGAAAAGCTGAAACATGTTGAAGCATACCGAGGTTACTGTAAATTCTAAATTGTTCAAATCATGACCCTCTCGGATAGGGCAGGGCCACAACAGGGTATCCAAGTTTTTCATAGAAATATCAAATATCATCTTCTCAAAAACCACTGGGCCAGAAAAGCTGAAACTTATGTTGAAGCATCCTAGGGTATTGTAAATTCTAAATAAAAAGTAAATTATTGAAATCTTGACCCCCCCCCCTTCCCAAGTTTCTCAGATGAGTAATTTGGCCCATGGGCCTCTTTTTTGACACATTAGTACTTATAAGGTCATGTAAAGTGATTTTGTAAAATTTAAACAATTTTTTATTACAGTCACTTTTAGTGTTGGAATTCAAATATTAAAACCTGAATTTATGATAATTTTCCAAGCATTTGTAAACATAGTTTGGGAATCTGACAAAAATGATTTTACCGCGACGGGGACAGGTAGGTGATTAAGTTCCCGCAGAGGGAACGCAGTTTACCTGTCTCATCTGTCCAAATGCGGCGTTGTGATTATATCTCGACGGAGCGTGGGAAATACGGGATCCGCGTTGCAGATACAGTTCTGTAAGCGCCTATAATTAAACATGTTTGAATCAACTCCCGATTTACACCAAGAACAGTGCCAACACAATAAAAAGATTTAATACAATGTAGTACAATAAAAGTTAAAAACAATCACTTCTCACAGGAAAATGCAACATTCAAAATAACGTTAATTAAATTCTTATATTAATTTTTAAAGGGACCCCTAAAATGACACTTCACGTTCTGAAAAACATCCAGATGAGACGGTTTGCTAACGGCACGCAGTTTGGAACCACATACGTTGTGTTTTCAGACACTGCCTACAGAACAGTCAAGGCCTTGCTAATACTTGAGAAACACCACCAAAGCTGTCAAAGCTGGTCAGAATAATGTTGTCCTAAGGTTGTGACATTGTCTGATGACACTGTGAAGATTAACCAGCAATCATTTTTTTTCAACTTCTATTACTTATTAGTAAATAAATCATATAAATCTACATATAAGTACTATACAATTTCAGTATTCAATTACAGTATAATAACAAAATTGTGAAATTAACTTTAATCATATTTCCAAAAATTAATATTAATAATACAGCAAAAGCAATGGCACTCAGTGTTCAAATGCTTACATAAGCGTAAAAAAGATTACTAGGCCATCTTTACACATTGAAAACTCAATGGATTTATCATCTATTACCCGAACATGACAGGCCAAAAAGGGATGCTCACTCTTCCTTGGTATCTAATCCCACCTCTGATGTGTTTGACATCCGTGTAAATTTCCTTTGCTCCTATGTGGTCAAGCTTAATAGACAGTTGAGCAGAAGAAGTAGTGAAATCTCGACAGGAGCCAAGGTAGGAACAAATTAATTTTAATCGCTATTACAGCTCAACATCAAACCGTACAATGTAAATTCGTATGAAAATAATAATGGAATTATCGGAGCACCATTGTCATGAGTGGTTCTACAATATTCATGAATATCCTCCTAAACTTCCATGTTTGTTATATTTAAATTTCAGATTCTGCTTGGTCTTATTTTCGAGTCCCTTTAGAATTATGGTTTAAACGGTACCTGGTGAAAACGGCACCTGGATTATGCTAAACGGCACTTGGTCAAAATGGCACTTAGTCAAAACGGCACATGGTCAAAATGGAACTGTTGAAAAAAAGAAATTATATGTAATTATAATTTGATATATATTTGTATGTGAGTTTATATAAGTATATACTATATTTTTTTTCTTAGATAGAATGTTCTATCGTTCTATGAGTTGACAATAGATTGTCACTCCATTTAGGTAAGACAGAATCTATTTTATTTGGTCCTCCAAGAAAGCTGAAAAGTATCACAGATTTTAAAATTGTGTGTAATGGTCATATAATTAAAGGTTCTGACAGTGTTAAATATTTAGGAATCTGTATTGACAAGTTTCTTTCATGTGAAAATATTGTTTTAAGTATCATACAAAAAGTTCATGCTAGACTTAAGTTTTTATATAGAAATGCATCCTGTCTTAGTACACATTCTAGAAAGACCCTATGTTCTGCCTTGATACAATGTTATTTTGACTATGCCAGTTCTTCTTGGTATTGTGGAATAAACAATCAACTCAAACACAGATTACAAGTAACCCAGAACAAAGTAGTACGGTTCATTTTAAACCTTAGTCCTAGAGAGAGTATTTTTAATAATATTTTAAACTCTCTAAATATGTTAAGAATGGAGGATAGGGCTAAACAATTAAGATTAAATCATGTTTTAATATATATCATGGTAATGCACCAGCTTACCTCCATGAACATTTTGTTTTAAATAATAATATCACAAGAAGTGCAACAAATAAGAATTTTATTATACCAAAGATAAAAGGGAAAGAGTCTTCATGTTTTTTTTCTATAATGCAATCAAAGATTGGAATACATTGCCGTTGGAGATTAAAGAGGTAAAAACAAAACAAAGTTTTAAGAAAGCTGTAAAATCTTATTTATCTTCAAATACTAGTGTTACTACATAAAAATCTTGTCTAATTTTGTTGTTTATTTATTTTTTTAGTATCATAAGCATTTTGTGATAACTACCAAGACAAAACATGCTACTGTAAACATGTCATTTTTCAAAGCATTATGCTATACTCATAAAAGTACCTGCCTAAATTCCAATGTTTATGTAATTTTGTTATTTTTTGTTTACTAACATGGCTGTTATTTGAGGACCCCATTGGAAATAAGCTTTTTAATAAGGCTTTTATGGGCTATCCTTAGGTAATATTTATCAACTGTATGTCATGCAATGTATTTAATAATAATTACATATATATGTTAAATTGATCTTTCTTAATTAGCATAGTGCTGAGATAATGTGTGTGTATTTCTTTTTTCTAGTAGTATGCTAGTCTTTAATGTTTTAATTTGTTAATCATGACATTCTGTGATATTTTTACCTGAATAAAATGAAATGAAATGAAATGAAAATGATATTGTCCTACGGACCCGGTTTAACGATAGAATTCGTTCCGTGTATTCGTAATGTAGCAGAAAGAAACACGGGCGATAACTCGCATAGTGCATTTACTAGGAACAATCTAGAGAGTTCCGAATGTAAACATGGAAGGTAATTTGAATCGAGAGAAAAACGTTGAGAAAATTATTTGGATTTTCGTATTTATGGATTATTTTTTGGGATAAAAGGCATAAGCAATCTCAAGAAGGTTTGTTTTGATTATTTTGGTAGTTAATCCCAGTGCAAATTATTTTATATTCTTCAAAATCGTTTCGGAGCAGATGCGCTCCGATTTGCTACATTATTAGTATATGGGACGTATTCTAACTGTGGCGAGGGCCTGTACCGAGACACAGATAGATTTTTCTAACTATTTTTTTCTGGGAGGATCCATTTTTTCCAAAAAAAAAAAAAAATTAATCCATGTAGACACTCGAATAAGTTTTTTTTTTAGCTCTACTGGTCAGAGACCAGAAGAGTTTATGCGATAGTAATGCGTTCGGCGTCCGTCCGTCTGTCTGTCTGTAAACAATTTTTCAAAATGCTACTCTTCCTACAGTTTTGATCTGATTTCAATATAACTTGGCACACAAGTAAACTACACTAAGATACATAATTCTGTGTATCGGTTTTTTTGATTTCGACGAACGGTGTTGTCGTTGTTCCTAAAAATAGAAATTTCTGTGAAATTCTTTCAAAATGCTACTCCTCTTACAAATTTGGTCTGATTTCAATATAAATTGGCACTGAAGTAGACTACACTAAGATACATAATTCTGTGTATCTATTTTTGATTTCGACGAACAGTGTTGACGTTGATACTAAAAATAGAAATTTCTATGAAATTCTTTCAAAATGCTACTCCTCCTACAGTTTTGGTTTGATTTCAATATAACTTGGCACACAAGTAGACTACACTAAGATACATAATTCTGTGTATCGGTTTTTGAATTTGACGAACGGTGTTGGTGTTGTTACTAAAAATAGAAATTTCTGTGAAATTCTTTCAAAATGCTTCTCCTCTTACAAATTTGGTCAATATAAATTGGCACACAAGTAGACTACACTAAGATACATGAACGTGTTCTTCTTTAATACGAAATCTTTCAGAGGGATTTGTACGACGCTTGCAAAGACAGCAAGGGTAAGATCTAGGTGCTGGATTTGATATTTTTTTCTATTATAATTAACAATTAAAATATGAAATAAAAACAAAAGCAAATACAGATGCAACACCCCCCCCCCCCCCCCTTCAAAAAAGACAAAAAGAAAATAAATGATCAAAAAAATGTTCAGTGTCAGACCTTATTGAAATTGAGTAAACGAACGACCATTCGGGCATCAAAAAAACAATGCAGTCTATAAATAGATCGGGGTCGTGTGTGTGTGTGTGAAGAAGCACGCCCTCTGGATGGAGAAAATTGTGCAAATCTTTTTCCAGAATTCCGAGTAACGCAAGCGCACTTGCAGTTTCATCCTAACGTAACTAGTCAGCCCGGGGGCTGACTAATGAATCATATTTATTTATAGAATTAGGATGGCGGATGATTTAATTATAGATGTATGATGCAATATAAGGACTTGTGGTAGATTTGGTTACCTAAAAGTGGTGTGATAAGGATGATTGAGTATGTGTACTCAATAGTCTAAACGTGCGCAGCGCATGGTTTTGCAAAGCTGTTTGCTTTATCATTTCCTAAATATAGAACGTTTATGTCAGCATAAATTTTTAATATTTATTAAATAAATGTGTTTTCAAGGAGGGGGTGATAATATTGTTTATTGAAAACAGAAGAAGAATGGCGATCAGACAAAGTTTAATTATAAGAGACAACGAAATCCCTCGATTAGAAGATTGGGATCAAGAATTAACGAGGCTGGGGTGTGGCAGCCATTTTCAGACCATTTTAATTTCCTTT